TAGCGTATATGATTATTTTTGTATTGTTTTATGTATAAACATACGCTTAGTCAAATACAAAATTTTATTTATATGTATGTATATACGTATATGTGTATATGTATAATTAAATGTGTTGAAATATATTTTCATATATTTATAAAAGTATGTGCTGTGCAAAAAATATGTTGATTCATTGCTTTTGGCAGGTTGCCATTGCGTTTTTTTTTCGCTTGCATTTGGTCATTAAGTATAAAATGAAGTATATATTAAAAAAAAATCGGCAATAAAATAATACTTATCCCAATAAATTTTTTATATGCGTAAGGATGTTTGACATGTCTGCAACTAAACAAAGAGTGTAATAAAATTTAATAAAAATATTTAATTTAAAATCACATGAAGAGCGCGTGATTTTATGCTCAGTTTAGTTTACGCTTTATTAACATAATGTGCAATCTGCCAAATTGGTTTGTTCAAGTCAATTTTGATTTTTATTTAACTTAGCTTTCATTTTCATATTATTTTATTTTACTTTATTATATTTTAGTGCCAATTATTTTTAACTATTTCATTTAACTGAATTACATTTTATTATTTTTGTTTTTTGTTTAATTTAATTGAATATTCTCACTTGATTTAACTGTGTCTTATTTCAATTGATTTTTTATTTTTTATTTGATTTCATTTAATTAACTTCTCTTCTATTTTTTTTACGAATTTTTTATCTGATTTTATTTTATTCTTTTTTATTATTTGATTGCATTTAATTTATTTTATAATATTTTTAGTCTTTTACTTATGTTTTTTTTTCGTAATGTTATATTATATTTTATTTTTAAATTATTTAAGTTTAAATATTTTTTCTTTAATCTATGTATCTTATGTTTTAGAATTTAATTTATGTTGTATTATTTAATTCTTTTTAAGTCTTTTAATTGATTTTATTTCATTTTATTTATTTGAAATTTATTTAGTTTCGTTTTTTATTAAGTTATTTTATTTTATGTTCTTTATTTTTATTATATTTCACTTTAGTTTGTTTGTTTATTTCATTTTAATTTATTTTTTTTTTGTTTTATGTATTTTTTTATTGTATTTTACTTTAGTTTACGTTGTTTTATTTTTTTGTTTATTTTTTATTTTATGCATATCATTTAATTGCATTGCATTTTGTTTTATTTTATTTTATGTTTCTTTGAATTATCTTATTTTTTTAATTCATTTAATTTTCTTTGATTTTGTTTTGTTTTTTTAATACACTTTTTTTCTTTTATTTTAATTATATTATTTTATTTCCTTCAGTTTTATTTTAAAACAATTAAATTTTTCTACTTTTTTTGTTTTAACTATTTTTATTTTATTTAACTTTATTTTATCTTATAATATTTATATATATTTAATTTATATTGTTTATTTTATATTATTTTATTTTGTTTTATATTATTTTGTGTTGTTTTTTTTTTAATTTATTAAAATCTATTTTATTCCGTTTTTTTATTTCTTTTAATTTTCTATTTTAATTAATTTATTTTGTTTTCTTTTGTTTTATTATATTTATTTTACTTGATATAATTTTAATTAATTTTATGTATTTTAAGTTATTTTATTTTAATTTTTATTATTTTTATTTATGTTATTTAATTTGGTTTAATTAATTATCTTTTTTTTATTTAGTTTATTTTAGTTTATCTTATTTTATTGTGACTAATATGTTTTTTTACGCTATACATTTTAAATTATTTTACTTTATTTAATTTTTCCTTTATATATTTAATTCTATTCGTTTATTTGTTTTTATGTTATCTTATTATATTTATTATTTTATTTTATTTTATTTTATTCTGTACATTTTATATTTTATTTTTTTTATTTAATTTAATATTTTTATTACTTTAATTATTTAACTAAATATAATTTATATTCCTTATAATATTTTGTTTTATTTTTCATATATTTGTATTATTTTTTGGATTTTTTTTTTTTAATTTACGTTTTATGTTATTTTAGTTTGGATTAATAAATTGGACTTCTTTTTGCTAAGCTTTATTTTAATTTATTGTAACTTAGCTAATTTAGTTTAATATAATTTTATTTAATTTAATTTTATTTTTTTCCATTTTAGTTTATTTTGTAATATTTTATTAATATTTTAATATCTTTAAATATATATATATATATATATATATTTATATATATATATATATATATCATATATTGTATATAGTATTATGCATAATGTAGGCATATATTCTATGGCTAATATTTTACGTATTTTGCCAACCTTTATCTTGCCTTCAATTTTACACTTTTCTTTGGGCACTAAAAGAACACTAAAATTTACATATGCATACATGTTTGTAAGTTACTTAATCGTACATGCAAATGCATTGCTTGTGTATGCGCCTACATTTATTTAGAGCACACTTACTCGACACTTTCTCTGGTTATTTGGGTCTTTGGGTATCTGTGCAATGTCATTTTATCTTCTGATGACTGTTATACATAAATATATATGTGCAAATATGTAAGTGCATGTATCATTGGACATATATGCATGCAATGTGTGTCTGTATATACCTTTAAAAAAATTTGAGCTTTGAAATGAATTCAGTTCACAAGTTGTATCTAATTAAAAACTAACGACACAGCCCAAATAAACAACAACAACGAGCTTAAAAATGGAAAGAGTAAAAATTACAAATTTTCCTACATGCAAATGTAGAATTCTGAAGGGCACAATATATGTGTTTGCCTATCATGTAGGGGAACGCAGCAGCTCCTCGGTTTGTCAAATTAGAAATGGGGTGTGAAAACAACAAAGTGAAAAAAAAATGAAATAAATAAAAATGCCGCAAGGTCGATGGGCGGAAAGCAGAATAGCAAGAAAAGTTTTGAAATTTTGCACAAGCGATGCAGTTACGTTTGCTTGTACAGTGAGGTGTTTTTTTTTATAAAAACGCTGGCATATTAGAAAAAATAAATATGATAAATATTTATGGTTTTGTTTTGACATTAATAAATTATATTTTTTTATTTATTTATCAAATTTTATTTTATTAACTTTTTCACTCTAAATTTTTGTTTAATATATAAAAATATATAATAGAAAAAAAAAATACCAAATATATAGATACATAAATAATTTTCTGTTATTTTGAGATAGATATGTATACATCCTGCATTAATAAATAACAATTAAAAATTTTAAATTTCTAATTTTCCCTTTAATTATTTTTAATTATTTAAAATCTAATTTGTTAAGGTTTAATGAGGCTTTGTTTAAGTGCAACTACATACATACATGTATATATGTAGAACCAAGAAATTAAAAAATGGCTGAAAGGTTGAAGAGTCAAGAGTGGTTGGTATAAGGAATGTCTGCATATATGTACATACATACATAATACATTCAAGCCATTTTAAGGGTTATACTTTATATTGAGTGTGAGTGAAGTGAACGAGACCCTTTATTACTATTATGTGAATGAATTTTAGATAAGATATCTGGGAATACGCACATACGTCCAGTTTGTGATTTTCTCAAATGAAACTCTTTGTGACAGAGACTTTAATCGGAAAATATATAGATATATACAAACGCTGAATCAAGGTCCCCCTCCTTGTAGTATGCTTCTTAATGTTTATTCAAACCAATAGAGGGACCTCTGAGCCGCTTCGGAACTGCTATTGGATTTGTATGAGGAACTTTAATTTCATGTCAGAAATACCTCGAGAGGCGACCGCAATTAGAAAAACTAATTCTCTCTAATTTTTAATGTTAGTTGAGACAGGACTCGAACCTTCTAGACCTTCAGCATGGCAGTAAGCAATGCTAACCATTCGACCATAATAATAGAAAACATGTTGGATCAAGTAAAAGGCCATCTGTTATCTTTGCTATATATAGATTATGCGAGCTCTCTTTCGATTGCCCAGAGACTAATCATAAAACGAACTAGATACACAACACACAACCATAACAAAAAAAAAGCCTCATGAACCGAATTTCCAACTGCGAATCGTGGCTCGATCATAACAAAATCGTCCATTCCTGAAGCGGGTGGTGACTGATGATAAAAAGTGGATCACCTACAGCAACTTCAAACGAAAATGGGTGTGATCGACGGGCAGTGGCTGAAACAAACAACTTTATTGTATATTTTGTGAGATTGGCAGGGAATCATTCACTATTTGCTGTTCTCTTACAGTAAAATTCGGTCCTTTACTAACTGCAATTGGACTGTCTGAGAGTAGCGCCTTGCTTTGGTGAGCAGGTGAGGAAAAGCAACACACCAGAACTTGCATGGAAAGTTCTTATAGGCCGTACTTCGCACCAAGAAAATACTGTCACTTCCTGTATATGGAGAATGATTTGGCTGGTGAAGAATTGGTCTGAGGAGAAGCCTTTGAAAATGGATTTTCCAAAGTTTTTGCCAATTGCATTAAGGGTTTCTATTAGAGAGGCATAATGACATTCCTTTAAAATGACAATAAGTTATCAAGCTAAATGGTCGATATTTTACAAAAATAATGTATGACTTTTTACTAGCCCATCTCTTGGAACTACTAGAGATTAAGAAATGAAGAAAATATTTGCAGTTTACAATTTAAGTTAAATTTGAAATATTGAAATCGAAAGTTGTATGCCCTCGTGAAGTTTTTGGGCAAAGGCTTAGCTTTTTTTGGCATCCTTTTTAATGTAGTGTTTATTTGTTTTTTTTTTTGTCTTATTTGAAGTTACGTACGGCTCCTGATCCATTTTCCTCATTTCGTTAATAAAGTGGTAACAGTTATATTCTGACATATTACCGCTATCCACTCACTACTTTTTTGAAAGAATTTTAGATACCATTTGCAATTGTATTAAATATTTTTTATCCATAAATATATGCATTTCTACCACACATTCAATATCCAATCATTTCAACCTAAATTAAGAACTCCATTAGTACTTAAGAACATTTTTATTCATAAATAAATTAAAATAAATGTTTTATCTTCTTCTCTTCTCTTTGCAGGTGAGTCAGTTTGTTCGGGAATTGAGGTTGAAATTGAAAATAATAACAATTTCTCTCATGGTAAGCTTTTCCATTATTCATTAACTATCATTACAACCGACTTTCATCTGCCTACAAAATTTGAAATTAAAATTGATATCATTTTTAAAGCCAAAACAAAATTTAGCGCTTTTGTTCTAATTTAACTAAAATCGTATTTAATATGCCGTTATCAAAAGCTTTTGCCTACATAATCTCTTTTTCTCAATTTTCTTTTGTTGCTTCTAACCTTTAAATTATTATTTACCCAAATTATTATTGTATTTTAAATTTTATATTCTAAATTAAAAATTTCTTCAAATTTCCATCCCAAATCATGATCTCGATCTACGATCTTATTCTACGATCATTAATTTTATGAAACGATGTACAAGTATGTGGAAAAATTCTGTTTATACAGTTTTTCACTCGATTTTCAAGAAGAGCTCATATTTGTTTATTTTGAAATCGGGCAAATAATCACTCACTTGATTGCCAAGGATTCCATGAATAGGAAATAGTATGGAAAATGATATACACATATGAAATTCTATGTAGATTTTGACTATGAATACTCAGACTTAATTTGGAAAATTATTTTCTTCCATGTACTATCCATTAATTATAACAAAATGATTAGGAAATATCAGAAAGTTTGTTTTAATCAACTTTGAAGTTTTTCTTCTTCGACTCAAGTGAGTTCTGGTTCCGTACCTTTGAAAATTAGTATGCGTATAATCGTATTTCCAACTACGGCACTAACTAATGTTAGCTTACCTCGTATTTATTATCACAAACAAAAAAATAATAATAAATTATTGGTGAAAATCGATTATCGTTCAACTCATTTCATAACCATACATTTCAATATCGCCATCGTCGATCATTTTCTAAATCATTTCACTCACATTTTCACTCATTCGTGCTGAATTCACTTCAACCTCACTCATGTCCAGCTCAGTACTCATTACTTATTCAATCGCCCTTTTCAGCGCAGTTCGACAAACAAGCAAATTAAAAAAGAAAACAAAAAAAAAAAATCAACCAAAAACCGATTCATTTAAAAAATACTCATTTGAAGTGAAAGAGAGCGCAACTGTTATTATTTTTAATTTTAAATCCTCTTCTGTGTATGTAACGATTTGTTAATTAAAATTGAAATAATGTATGTATGTATTTCGAAAGTATGTAAATTGCTTTTATGTCTATATGTATTGTATATAATGCCTGCAACCAAAAGCGAAATGCAGCATATTGCATTTCGCAGCGGTTACTTAAAAAAAATATATATATGTATACATTAAAAAAAAGTAATAATTATGTACGTTGAAGGCAAATTACATCATCAAAACTAGCGCGAATATTTTATTAATGCAACATGTTGCTTTCCATTTCTTTCTTTTTTTTCTCTTTTTACCTCTCTCTTTCTCTTAACTTGTACCTTTACACATGCGCAGGCGATTCATCATACCACATGAAGATCCTAGTGCCCGCCGTGGCCTCTGGTGCCATTATTGGCAAAGGTGGCGAGACAATTGCCTCTTTGCAAAAGGACTCCGGTGCTAGAGTTAAGATGTCCAAGTCGCATGACTTCTATCCAGGTAATACTTGTACAGACAATGTTTTTTTCTTGGAAAATCACAACTATTTTATTTTTAAATTTTTATTAATTCGAATACTTTCTCGTCATCTTGTAGGTACCACCGAGCGCGTTTGTCTCATCACCGGCTCTGTGGATGGCATTATGTCGGTTATGGACTTTATTATGGATAAGATACGCGAGAAGCCTGATCTAACCACGAAAATCATAGATACTGATTCGAAACAAAATCAGGATCGTGATAAGCAGGTGAAAATTTTGGTGCCTAATTCCACGGCTGGTATGATTATCGGCAAGGGTGGTGCTTTCATTAAGCAGATTAAGGAGGAGAGCGGCTCATATGTGCAAATTTCACAGAAACCAAAGGATATATCATTGCAGGAACGTTGCATCACCATCATCGGCGATAAGGAGAATAATAAGAACGCTTGTAAGATGATACTCTCGAAAATTGTTGAGGATCCACAATCCGGTACATGCCTTAATGTCTCATATGCCGACATTAGCGGTCCAGTGGCCAACTTCAATCCGACTGGCTCCCCATACGCCACCAATCAGAATGCCATTAATACGAGTACTGCTTCATTGAACTCTACATTGGGTCAGAATATTGGCGGCGCAGCTACTGCCGCGGGTCTACTAATAAACGGCACCGGCATTAACTTATCATTGAACCTGAGCTCACCAAATCCAGCACCCAACTTGGCAGTGGCCACACAATTGCTGGAACATATTAAGGTAAGGAAAAAAAAAAAAAAAAATAAAAACAAAAAACAAAAACTTTTTCACTTTTACAGGTCGCGCTACGCGGCTCCGGCTATTCAGAGACCGCCACCAATGAAGTTTGCGCCGCACTCGGTGTACTTGCCAAATATGGCGTGCTCGGTATGGGTGTTGGTGTACCACATGCCAATGGCACCACCACGCTCGGCAGTTTTCTGGGTGTTACAGCGTTGGATCAGCAAACAGCTGCCGCCGCCTCAGCAGCCACTGCCAATAATGTTTTCGGTGCTGTGGGTCAAGTCAATTTGGATCAGTATACAGCGGCAGCGGCTGCTGCTGCTGCAGCAGCTGCAAGCCGTCCCACACAGTCACACCTGGAAGCGGCTGCCGCAGCACAATTCGATCCCTTCCGTCATTTGGGCACGACAGCCGCAACAGCGGCACAGGCTAACACACCGGTATCGTTAAATAATAATAGCTTTGGATTGACAGCGGCCACCGGTACTACGTGTACAACGGCGCAAAGTTTAAGTGCTGCAACACATCAGCTCAGCGGTTTGAGCAAGAGTCCCACACCGGGCGATTTGGGTGCTAAGGATACCAAAAATGTTGAAATTCCAGAAGTGATTGTTGGCGCTATCTTAGGTGGGCCACGCTTTTATTATCCCTACTAAAAAAAAATATAATAAAAAACCAAAAAAAAAAAAAAAAAAATTCGTAAACAATTTCAAAATGCAACCATATAACTGGTCGAAAAACATTCAAAACTATTCGAAGCGTAGCTACTGTTACTCACAAAAACACAGTTAAATTGTTTTGTGTTTCCCTCACTTACATGTATTGTATATTAGTATAGAAACGAAATTGTAGTGGCCTTTGCCGTAAGTTTTGCTGCTAAAATATCAAATCGGCGTTTTTTCCTGCTTAATGGCTTAACATACATACATACATATTTGCTAACAGCTCAAACTTGATTTGTTTTTCTTCAAGTTTTCTCTTTTTATTAATTGATTGTCTAACCTCGATATAATAATATGTATATACCTAATAATATGTGCCAAAGCTCAATTTGTTTCCAAGAAAAATGCATTTGCGCTTAAATGTTTTGTTGGCTTATTAAAAACTTAGATTTTGTAATTTGAAATGTTGATTTGTTTAAAGAGAGGTTTTAAAAAATAATTAAATTTAGAATTAAAAAAATTAATTCAATTTTTGTATATCTATTTTTTTGCATAATCAAAAAACATTAAACATTTCATGTTTCTTTGCTTAAGTATATTAAATGTAATTTCTTAATATTTTTTTCCTGGTGTAATTTATAAAAACGCTTTTGCATTTTTTTTTATTTGTTTAAACGCCACCTTGAGCCCTTAAAAGGTTTACTGTTTGTATGTCACCACATCAAATTATTCAATTGATCCTTTTGCCAATGGCATTAGTTCCAAATAAAATTTTATGTTTTTTTATATCTTTTCCAACATTCCGCTGATGAAAATATTTTGAATTTATCAAATTAGCTATTTTCATAAAATTACGGTAAATAAATTTATCTATTTTACAAAAAATTCCATAAATTCTTTACCCCCAAAAATTGCATACATCCTTGATAAAGTCTATTGTATGTAGAGTGTTAGCATACGCGTGCAGACATACATATTTACATGTCACAAAAATCGATATACAAATATCGTTGCTTGGAAAATGCATGCAAATTGTTAAAAAAGGAAACCTCAATTTTAAATTTGATTTGTTGAGACACTCTATTTTTGTTGTTTTATATAAATCTAGTCAAGTTCTTGCCGCAAACATTTATTAAATAACATAAAATTTAAAAAAAAACAAAACAAAACAAAAAACAAAAAATCTCACAAAAATGCATACGACGACGCAACACACACGCAAACTCACTCATAAGAGAACAATTAACTATACCTTAATGCCTGATAAATATGTATGTGAAGACAATAAATTAAGAAGAATAAATTAAATGCACTGTCACATATACCCACACCCACACGCACACGCACAAACACACACACACTATGCGTAGCTGCACGAAAATGTATATAAAAGCTATTGTATGTGTGACGAAGTAACTGTGATTTATATTATGCGCCACTCAGCACACGCTCATTTACATACACACACATACATATGTACATGCATGCACATATTTTTCACAGAATAAAATGTTGCTTATTGGCACTCAAACAGCGCGGTTATATCGAAATATTTATTTTTTTCTTTCTTTTTCGATGCATATATTAAGGCGTTTCAACTTCTAAGCTACACAGTTCATTTGCGCCTTGTTCGCTATCGTAGCTCACCAAATTTTACATACTCTTACATTTATTACACTTTGACCTACCAATTCAATTAAAATATTTCTCATTCTCTAAGGGAGTCATGAATTAACCCACCACCGGGTGTAACCTTTACGTAAAAAAAAAAAAAAAAAAAAATAAAAAAAAAAAAAAAAAAAAATTAAATTAAATAAAAACAACAACAACACTCAGCTACTTAGGCATGCGCATACAGCATGCGTGTAAATACTTACGTTCATATACTCGTACATATGTATGTATTATATAAAGGTACATTTGAAAATTGACATTCCTGGCTAAGACACTTGTAGTATATATATACAACACATATGTAGTACACACAATATTTACATACATATTTCCTTAAACATTCCCAGCGCAAAGCAACAAAAAATGAAAATTAAAATTAAAGTATACATAAAAATCAAAATAAGTATAAATAAATAAAAAATAAAGGCAAAGTGCGTTAGGTCCTTTTTATCAAGTCTACAACACCACGCACACACATGTGCACTTTATAATATTTTATATTTAGATATTTGAAAAGCAATAATTGAAAGTGACTTTTTTATTTGCTATTTGCCTAAACATTAACGCAAAGCGCAATATGCACATACATATATACATAAATGTAGTATACTTATAAGAATATAGATATATATATTTTGTTAGTTTTTTATTAGAGGGGATTGGCTTTTGTTTTATTTATTACAATATAAAACCCATATTAAGTTAGTTAGGTGTTTATATATGTATGTACATATATTAAGGAAAGTGCCTTATAAATATTAATAACCTTCGCGTAGTATGCTCACTACGTGGCAATAATGTTTGTATAGAATAATATCAATATACATACATACATGGTGCTCCATCTTTTATGTCGGTATCTAAACATTGAATAACCAATTTCTATAAGTGATGTATTTTTATTCAGTTTGCTTCACTGCATGTCATTTTGGACTAGTTTTTGAAAAGCATATCAACCAAGTGGCCACGTTTATTAGAAATTTGCAAAATTACTCCTTTTTTCTGCGTTCGCCATTACCTTATCGAACATCTCGGATATTATAGCGTTGATATGAGCACGAATGTTTACCTAGAGCTCATCAACAGTTTAAGGCTGGCTGGCGTAAACCTTGCTTTTCAGATAACCCCCCACAAAAAGAAGTCCGGGCGGTTAAATCAGTTGATCTGAGTGGCCAGTCAATATTTTTTCCGATATGCACGTTGAGTTAACACAATGTTAAGGCTATTTTCGTTGCTAAGCGTCACTATTTCAGCGCGTTGTTTCGGTGTGAAGCAATCCCTGGCAAACATTGTACTGACTTGAAGTTTCCAAAACATATCTGATGCAATCGCTCGGTTGGTACATGTAAAAGTTATACAGCGTTTACATAACTACATAAAAGATGGAGCATCCTGTACATAAAGGTTTTCCCAATAAGAAGTGCAATTTTGAAATTCAATGAAACATTTTCCTTAAAAGATCAATAGAAAATCCGAATCGAAAGATCGTTCGATTTTGTTGCTTGTGTGACACGTAACGCCGTCTGGTTGAAAGTAAATGTTGTCCAGATTAATAACACCCACTTTGGATCATAAAAAACATTAATAATTTCTCGATAGGGCAAAGCATAAATTTTCGAAAAAGTAAACCGCCGAAACGTAAACCGCATCGAACACTTACACATTGCGAATGGAGAGGCTTTTCAACAATAAATCTTGAGGTTTCCGAATGCGACAGTTTGGCTTTTGATGTAGCCATCGAGTTTAAATGGAGGTTCAGGCGATTATTCGATGAAATTTTTAAAGTGAATTTTAGTAATTTCAATGCGTTTTTGAAGCGCGAATCGTTCCATTTTTATTGCTGGCAAAGTTTTTATTTTGTGAAATGTTCAATAATTACAGCTTCAAAATAAGACCTCTTATTGGCAAACCCTTTACATACGTATATATATATATAAATATTGCAAAAGGCTTTGCGTACAAGCTGTGCTAGATTTTAGTGCTTAAATTTCTCGTAGGCTTAAAGTTAATTTAAAAAGTAAGTCAATTTCCCATGCACACATTTAAATATGTAGATATTTAGTAAAAATAATTAAATTCTTTAAACAAACTACTACTGCATGTATTTGAGTTGGCATGTGTGAAGTGGAGATATGCACGATTTAAGAAAATGCAAATGATTTCAAAATATTCCAATGCTTCGTCAGCCAATTTGAAATTTTTGCGCGGCAATACAATGCTTTATTTAACAACTCAATCCGCTGGACTCTTTTACGGCGCGAAACGGACACTTAGAAGCTCAGTACATACAATATATTATTGCAAATTCTTAAAATATGCTTTAAAATCAAGCAATCTATGAAGTTTGTAAACATTCAAACAAATATAAATAATGCAGCAGCGCTGCAACGTGAAAAATAAATCAGGATTAATTTTGTAGTCGCAGAAATACCTCATAAAGCAAAAAAAAAAATAACAATACATTTATATATATATTATAGTTAGTTATTAGATATCAGTATACTACATACATACATGCATACATCTATAATATGCTTATTTTTTGTGGACAACAACAACTAAATATATACAACCACAATATTTCTTTTGTAGTTCTTAGATTTATTAACAGGTTTTTTTTGCATTTTTCTTTTGGCTAAACTAATAAATGTTTAATGAATTTAATGTAATATATATGATATTACTAATATATTTAGGTTTCTCCGTTTTCGTTTGGTTGAAATTGTTAAGAAAAATGTTTACATAAATCACCTAATATTAATATTATTATTATGTATATTTTCTGTAGTTTCTTTTTTTTACTACAAAAACACAGCGCGTTTCAACTAATATGTTTTAGTAAATGTTTAACAAACATTCATAGATTTTTTTATTTATGTATATACTTATTTAGTTGTAACATGAACAAAATGGTTTATAATTGAATTAATTATGAATTTTTTGAAGTTAGCAACTATAACCTGTTTTAAAATTTAATTTTCCCTACACTTGTATATATTTATATATATAAATATATATGTACAATTGCAACACTACTACTTATCTAGAAATATCTACTAAATATATATATATATAATATATATAAAAAATATATACTATATTTACGCAAATAACCATACTTATGTGTTTCTTAAATATCAATTATAATGCAAAACAATTAAAATTCCAGGTCCAAATGGTCGTAGTTTAGTTGAAATTCAACATGTATCTGGCGCAAATGTGCAAATTTCAAAAAAGGGCATATTCGCACCGGGCACTAGAAATCGAATTGTAACAATTACTGGTCAACCGAGTGCCATTGCCAAAGCGCAATATTTAATTGAACAGAAAATCACCGACGAGGAGACGAAGAGAGCGCGACAAATTCCATTAACCACTGTTGTGAATTAAAAAAAAAACAAAAACAAGCGAAATACCATAAAAAAAAATAAAAAAAATAATAAAATATATATATATATATATATAAAATAATTAAATAATAGACGAAAAAAGAGAACAGATAAAAAATTATATAACTGAAAGTTTATTAAGCATCATAGTAAATCATAATAATAATTACCTAAATACATACAGTACACATCAACAAATAAAACGAAAAGTAATAAACAAAAAAAATATGTAAATAGAATTTTGAAACTGAAGAAAAAAGGAAAAAAGCGTAAAAAGAGTTACATTTGAAAAGGAAAAAAGTTTATTTTAAACACAACCACATAACACATAAAGTAGGTACGGACATAAATATGAAAAAAAATAACCGTCGAAAATATAGTAAGTGATTCGTTGAAGAAAGCAACAAAATGACGAAGAATTTTTTTAAACGAAATATAGAGAAATTAATCGAATTGCATTGTAAAAGCAAAAAAAAAATTCTTTATAAAAACCCGCAGCGAATATTGTATTGTATTATAATAATGGGAAATTTTAAATGATGAAAGAAAATAAGAAAATCAAAGAGAGTAAAAAAAGTTACAACTGTATAAAGAAAACAATTACACATACAAAACTGAGTGTTCGCAGCAAATGTAATAACAAAAGAACAATAACATCACGAAACAAACCAAAAAAAAAAAAAAAAAAAAAAATACAAAAACTATAACAACAACAACTGAAGTACTTAATTACTTGCCTAGATACCTACAATATACAAAGTAAATATTTATAATTATCATAGGATGAGTTGATGATTACAATATTATTTTTATTAGCAAAATTTAAACTAATTGAAAACAAAAACCAAACACTGTTAAATAATCTCTTACTGAAATATATAAATGAAAACTCGTTAAATGTAGTTGGAAAAGTGTGAAATAGTATTTACTTGAAGAGAAAAAAAAAATAAGCAAACAAATGAATAATAAAGCTGAAAGCAATTATTAATTAGAAAATGCAAACTGTATAGGAGAACTGTAAACTCAACACTAAAACACCTGAAGAGACATACATATATATACAAGCATACAAATACGTTTTTCACTTAGCTAAATTGTAAAGAAAATTAAAAAAAAAAAATTATATAATAGTATAAACATTTGAAAAACAAATCTTTAATGACTAAAACTCTTAGCTAAATAAAAAAAAAATTGAAATTTAAATTTAGTAAAAGTTTCAACTACTGTAGTTAAAGCGTATTAAATTTTCCCCATAATAAATTGCGTTAGATACTTTTTATTGTAGTAAAATCAAACAAAACAAATTTGGCATTAAAAGCGTAAAATTTTAAAAGATTAAAAATTGAGTGTTGAAACGTAAATTAATTATGCTAGAACTGTATTAAAATTACACACTAAATACAAATTACAAGCACTTTTGTGCGCACACAAATACACTTACACCAATAGGCAAACATTAAGGTTGAAGAATATGGAATGTTTTTAATATTTGTTCTGCTTTCGGCTTTTTAAATGTCATTGAAAATATTTAATGAATAATGTATGTATTTGATAATGTTTGCAGCAGTGTGATATGAAAAACTTTAATTTTTTTAATTCTTTCGGTGCCATTTGTGTGCAATTATATACATATGTATGTACATATATAAATTAAAATAAATTTCGTTTTGCATATATTTCTGTAATGATAGTTTAAATAATATTGCCAATAAATCATATTATGTACACGAAAGAGTTAATTTTTGCTTATTTTAGCATTTTTAAAGTCACCTAAAATGACTGCATATTTTAAATTGACTCAAAATGAAAGATGGAAACGATTTTCCAAAGTAATAAAACCTTTTGAATTGCCTTTAATAGCTTTTTTATTATTTTATTATATTTTTTTATTATATTTTTTTTTATTATTTGTTTTCGAGTCACACGTTAAGACTTCAGTTGTTATTTTGCTTCTTAATAAATGTAAGGTTATTAAAAAAATTGTAATTTAGATTTTCTGCTTGACAACTACAACAATTCATAGCCTACAGCTAACCTTTTTTAGGACATAGTTTTTGTAGTTGTCATACAAAAATGCTAAAAATGAAATATTTGAAATTTTTTTTATAATTGAAATGAACACATTTTGATGAGATTCAACGTCTTTGCTTTCAATTAAGTTTTATATTTAATTATAATTTGTTTTCAAGAATATGTTATCATAATATTTTCTCTTTTTTTTAAATACTAATATTTTTGTTATTTTTATTTGCTGCAACTCGTTTTGTATAACTCTATATTTGTATTGTATTTAAAAAAAAAAAAAAACACATTTTGTTGCTTTTTAAACAACGCTTGTTTGAGCATTTTCAGTGATATATGAATATTTCCCCATTTGAAAGGGGAAAAGTAAATTAATATATATAATATGTAAAGTCTTAACCTGCACTTTTGTTATGCGCTTTTTATCTACAAAAAAAAAAAACCGTTACTTGAAAAGACAAACAATTAAACAAACAGAACTAAGACGAACAACAACAAGAAAATTACAAAATCTGAATACCATACAAAAGGTAAATATGTAGCTTTAAAAATTACTACATAACTCACGTGATTTCTGTTCTTTTATTTTTTTTTAACCCTTTTTCGTTATTATTGCTCATTTTCCTGTTTTGTTGTACAAATTCTCCTTTTAAAATGAAGGCCTTGAACGGCAGTCCCTTAAAGGCAGCATAAAAGTAAAAAAACCTACAAGTGGCTGCTTTTAAGTGAAAGCAATTGTGCTCCTTTCAAAAAAAAAAATCCTTCTGCTTTACGCGCCTTTGGTTTTTTTTCTTTATTTTTTTTGCTTCATATCTTGCTATGTATAATCCTATAAATCCTCTTGTTGCTAAAATTTTCGTCTAAAATGCTTTTTTTGTGATTATGTACATATATGTATATGTATATGTATAAGATAACTGTTATATACGAGCTTTATGTGATGTTGCAATGGTACAACAACGATGGCCAGCACCAGGCACTGAATGGAACGCTAAAATATTTTTGTTGATGGTGATAATGAGTATGACGTTAGTGATGGCATTGCTGATAGTGATGACATGGATGATAGTGATGGCATTGATGATAGTGATGACATTGATGATAGTGATGGCATTGATGATGATGATGATGATGAAAGGCGTTGTGATGAACATTTTTGGTTTTTGGCGTTGCCTTTAACGTTTGCTTGCCTGGTTGATGGAAAGTGGTGAAAAAATGTGTTTCGCGCATTCTGAGTCTCCTTACACTTTGATTTAAATCGCGCGCAATTTTTTCTCTTTAATTTGCTATTTAACATAATATTTTTTTTATCGATTTATTTATTGTGTATATTTTTGTTTTGATTTTATGCCGGAAAAATATTCCTTTTTTGAAACATTGCCTTTATACACCAACACATTGTTAAAGTTAAAGTGGTTTGATTTTATTATACACATAGTTAAATATATATATATATATATATATAAATATATATTCTTTACATGTTTAAGTTATGCTACTTCTTAATTTAATTATTAATGTTAAACTTAATTGAACGAAAGAAATGAGGTTAAACTAGTTAAAACGAAAAAAGTGTTAATTACATCACAAGTTGCTATTAGCACGTTTATTTATAATAATTACATTTTTCTCACGCTTATATATTTGTGACACTTGATATACATATATATATATATAATAAATACAATACATTACATTTTTACATACTTTATTTTCATTAATTTTTCTCAAACTATGTCTCTTATTGATTTTAATTGTTTTATATTTAAATTTAATTATACAATTATGTAATAATGAAATTGTGCAATTTGGCATTTGTTATTGTTTTGCAAATTTAAAAATTATCTTACGCAAATGATAAAATTTAATAAGTTTCCAACACAACAGCCAACGTACATAAGTTGTGTGTGTATGTGTGTGTGTGTGTATGGCGAATGCGTTAAAAGACAACAGATATACATAAAGCATTTTAATTTGAATTATAATTTGAATTTTTTTAATGGTAAACATTTTATATGTGCATAAATTTTTCAAAATACAATATTAAAGAAATTTAATTTTCTTAAAAATTATTAAAATTAAAATTAAATGAATAAAATAAAATTTTGTTGAAAGAAGAAGAATTAGAATAATTTTGAGAATTTATTAAAGTAATCATCATTTTAAATTTTTCCATTCAAATAGTTTTTATGTATGATATTTCAAGAGATAAGTATTTCAAAAATTAATTAATTTTTTTTTCACCATATTCGGAGTCCTACTTTTTTATATACATATATAATATAAACCATACAAATCATTACTTTGCAATAGCAATAGCCATTCTATACTAGTTTGTTTTCAGTTTTCATTTACTTTTATATAATAAACAATTCATTCAACATGGTTTTCGTTTTATATAATTAATATATTAAATTTTTTAAATAAATTGTTAATATCTAAGTATATATTATTAGAAAACAATTAAATTAATTATAAACATAACTATGTAAACACCTATACATACATTTACTGAAAATGTCTTTTTCTTCAAAATTATGTTAAATAAAATGTAAAAAATATTATACACATAATTAAAAAAAAAAATAGAATAAAAACAAAAAAAATGAGGTTTTATTTTGTAACGCACAAATTTTGTTTTTTTTTTGTAATTTTTTTTTGTGAAATATCATCAACGGAAAAATCGTATCTATGGTATCAATTAATCAATCAATCAATCAATCAATCAATCAATCAATCAATCAGTTATGCGCCATCACATTCCACCACTAAAAGTCACCATGCGCAATACCACTTTCCAACACACCACCACCACCACCACCACCACCCACAACCACCAATATCGCCAAATCACCACTCACAACCGACACCTACGCAATTATCACCATCACCAAAACGTTCTGAATACGCAACAAAAAAAGAAAAAAAAAAAAAAAGAATTTTAATTTAAAGCATAAAATAGAAAAAAAAAATACGAGACAGTCAATTGAAATGGACCTAAGCTAAATGCTTTGCCACTTCAATTAAAATACTATTACCTTTGACATTTGACTTTCGATTCAATTCGACAATACAAAAGCACCAGCATTTACATAAACAATGACTTAAATTTGTTTTTTTTTTTTAATTTTTTTATGTTTTCTTTTTTGGTACAATTAAAAAATATTAACTGAAAATGCTCATACAAAGAAAGAACTTTCATTTGACGAAAAGGCATATTTTTGTATGTAAATAGTTAGTACATTAATTAAACATTTATCACCTCAAAGAATCATTAATTATTATATTAGCATGGAAAATACAAATGTGGGAAAGAATTAGAAGAATAAATAAATTAATATGCTTTCAATGTGTCAATGAATATAGTTAATTGGTGAATATGAATATTATGAAAAGTTGAAATACTACAAATGTGCATATACATACATTAAAAAATATGTTATAAATGTTATGAATTATTAATTATTTATTGTTTTTTTAATTAAAATTGATTTTGTCTGAAAGTCAATGTGTCTGCTGCTTAAACAGTTCAATAGCTGGCGTTTTGTTGATTGAAATTATGATTTACTACGCATATTAACACATTGAGGTGTAGTTTTTTTTCATAAGATTAATCTAAAAACTCTTTTACTTTGAGTATACAAGAATTAAGGAAAAAAATTTACGCCTAGAAAAATCTATGAAATTCCGTTTCAACTCGCCTAAAAGTATACGAAAAATGTGCGCCTGAAAATATCTATGAAACTGTTTTTCAACTATTCGCCTAAAAGTATGCGAAAGTTGAGGTATATGCGCCTAAAAATATCCATGAAATTCTGTTACAACTCGTCTAAAAGTATACAAAAAATGTGGGCCTGAAAATATCTATGAAACTGTTTTTCAACTATTCGCCTAAAAGTATGCGTAAATTGAGGTATGCATAATTTGAAAATTTACAACGCCAGCGTTGGTTGTTTATAATGTATATTTAATTCTAAAAAAAATTTGAGGAACTGTCCAAAAGGTGCAATATAGACAATATATACAGCCAAACAGAATTCTCTGGCTCTCAATTAACGGAAGCATACCGTTATTCGAACTTTCTTTCTTTATTAGTTAAACACTGTGAATAAGCAGAACAAGCAGACAATGTTAAATATATATAAATAACAGAATTATTTCATCAATAACAACAACATGTTATTATGTTTTTTATAAATTTGTGCAATATAAACGCCTGTAAGCCTATCTACATACAAGATAAATATTTTTTTTTGTTTTTGATAATTATTTTAATTATTCGAACTTTCTTTCCTAAATAAATAATTGTTTTAAATTCGTGAGTGGCAGGTGATTTCTTTGAAATGGTATTTGATTTCGCTGCTCGCCCGCCTTAAACTAGGCTATAAACTACATATAAAAGCGAATCCGTCTGGTAAGGTGGATAAAAATACAACTTAATACTATTCACCACTTGATTGTGATTTTATTATCATATGAAACTTATGTCATTATGTCATAACATTTCTTTTGCAAATATACTGTTTTAAAAAATTCATTTCTTAAAAAAAAAAATTATTTTTGGTAGGCCTTATTGTATGGAATGAAAATATTTAATATTACAGAAAATGAATATATTCATATATTTAGTGATGTGTTTCATGTTTAAGTAAATTATTGTTAAAACATAAAAATGCAAACAGAAGAGTAGCACACAAGCATACACAGCCTTATAAATATACTAGTTCTGTAAAAATATATATATATATGTATGTTTATATACATATACATATTCAACATACACTCGTTAAATGCATATGAAAGTGTGTGCAATACACATACACCCACATATATATATATATATATATAAATTAAATAGAAAGATGAAAATTCAGGAAATCGAGAAATCATTACGAAATACAGACATACATACATATGTATGTGGGGTAAGATTTCTGAGGTAGGGCGTAAAGCTTTTAAAACCAATGCAAATAAAAGAAGAGAAAAACAAACAAAAAATAATAATCAATGCAATATTTAAATTTATATAAATAAATAATGAAATGAAGAAAATAAAGTTATAAAATTATAATGTTATGTAAATTCAATTTAGCTTAAACTACAAAAAAAAACAAAAAACACAATTCAATTAACTCAATAATAATGTAATGTAATGTAATGTAAAGAGATGTAATGTAATAAATAAATAGTATGTTATAAGTTGCAAATTCGAAAATACATAAATACATACTTACATACACATATGTGAAAGTACTAATTTTAGTAGGCAAATTGAAAAAAAAAATGGTAGTTAAAGAGATTTATTAAATAAAGGTACAATTTTTAAATTTAAATCAATAAAACTGAAGAAAAAAAAAACGTGAAATTTCTCACAATCCCCAGCATACACATATTTATTCATTAATACTCCCACATGCATGCACACTT